AAATTAGCTGGGCATGGTAGTCCATGTCTGTAATCCCAGTCACACAGGAGGCTGAGGCAAAAGAATCACTTTAACCCAGGAGGCGGAGGTTGCAGTAAGCCAAGATAGCACCACTGCACTCCAGCCTGGATGACAGAACGAGACTCCATCCCCCGCGCCCAAAAAAAAAAGATAAAAAATAAAGTCACAAAGGTTTTTTTTCCTACAATTTTTATAGTTTCAGGGTCATTTAGGTCTCAATTATTTCAAGTTAATATTTATGTACGGTGTCAAGCTGGAATTCGAGTTCATTTTGTATATATGGAAAATTGTTTCAAAACTATTTGTTGAAAAAACTATCCTTTCTCAAGTGAATTGCCTTTGTGCATTTGTTAAAAATCAGTTGTTCACATAGGTGTGGGTCTATTTGGGTACTCTTAATTCCAGGGTGGCCAAGCTTTTCATGTAAGAGCTAGGGGTAAATATTTTAGGCTCTGTGGTCTCTATTGGAGCTACCAATCTACTGTTGTAACACCAAAGCAACCAAAGAAAATACATAAACAAACAGAAGTGGCTGTGTTCTAACAGTGCTTTATGAAAACAAAAGGTAGGTTGACTCCTACTCTATTTGTTACACTGATCAATTTGCTTATTTATATGCTACCACCACACTGTCATGATGACTGTAGCCTTATAAACCTTGAAATCAACGTTCTGTGTACACTTAAAAAGCACTGCTGTTGCTGGAAGAGTGTTAGATAAATGGCCATCACACAAATTTGGTTGACAGTGTTGTTCAAGTCTTCCATATCCTCACTGATTTTCTGTCTACTTCTTTTATCATTGTTCAAAAAGGAATACTGAAATCCCTGAATATAACTGTGGATTTATTTCTCCTTGCAGTTCTGTCAGTTTTTGCTCTGTGTATTTTGAAACTACGTTATTTGGTAGATCTTTGATAAATTGACCCTTTTATCATTAGGAAATGCCCTTATTTACCCTTGATAATATTCTCTTCTCTGAAATCTACTTTGATATTACTATAGGCAATTCTGTCTTCTTTTGATTAGTGTTATCATGGTATATCCTCTTCCAACCTTTTTTGTTTAATCTGTATGTTTCTTCATATTTAAGTGGCATCTCTAGGGGGTAGGGAGCATGTGGTTGTATCCAGTCTGATAATCTCTGCTTTTCAATTGGGTGTTTAGACCATTTACATTTAATATAATTTGTGATATGATTAGGTTTAAAGCTATGAGCTTCATATTTGTTTTCTACTTGACTGTTCTGTTTCATTTCTGCACATATTTTTTTTAATTATTTTTTATTCTTTTCCTTGTTAATAAGCTGTAATTCTTTGTTTTCTTATTGGTTGCTTTAGGTTTATACTTGTACATCTTTAACTTTTCACAGTTTATCTTCAAGTAATATTATGCCACCTCATGCACAGTAAAGTATACAATAGCATAACTTCCATTTCTCCCCCTAGACCTTTGTGCTATTTTAACATACATTTTACTTTTGCATATATTAAAACTTCACATGGCCCAGAATGGTGGCTCCCACCTGTAATCCCATCACTCTGGGAGGCCAAGGCAGAAGGATCACTTGAGCCCAAAAGTTTAAGACCAGCTTGGACAATATAGTAAGACCCCCGTCTCTACAAAAAATTAGAGGCTGTGGTGGTGCATGCTTGTTGTTCTGGCTACTCAGGAAGCTAAGGTGAAAGGACTGCTTGAGTCTAGGAGGCTGAGGCTGCAGTGAGCCATGGTCACACTACTGCATTCCAGCCTGGATGACAGAGTGAGACTATCGCATATTTACTCATGTGGTTACCAATCTAGAGCTTTTAATTCCTTTCTATAGATCCGTATTTCCATCTGGTATCATTTTACTTGGGCTTGAAAGATTGCCTTTAACATTTTTTTGTAGTGTGGGTAGAGAAAAGAATAAGCAGATTTGAAAACAAAATCAAAAGTGTGAATGCTAACAAGTATTTCGCCTAAAATAACAAGCATGGTTCAAAATGAGAAAAGATACTACGAATTACTATATTAACAGATCAAAGAAAAATGACAGGGTAATTCCAACAGATGTTTGAAAAGCATATGATAACATTCAGCATTCATTTAAACTTAAAAATAACAACATTTAAAACT